CCTCTTCCTCTTCCTCTTCTCTTTCTCCTCTTCTCCTTCTCCTCCCCGCTTCTCCCTTCTTCTCCTCCTTCCTTCTCCTCCCCACTACCCTCCCCCCTCCTCCTCCTCCTCCTTCCGCCTTCCCTTTGGTCCCTTCACAATATGCATACAATATAAGACAATTTGTGCCTGGTCCTTTGTGCCTCAAAGGACAACTCTGGAGTGATTGTGCAACGGTTGTGCATTTGTTCCTCTTTTTTTCTGTTTCTCCATGGCATTTTTCAAGAGTTTCCCCCAAGTTCGAAAGTATCCATACTCTTTCTATTCTGCTTCCGAAGGATCTCAGGAGAAAATCTTGACCATTCTGCAAGCCAAATTGTAAATAAAATGGAAAAGAATGGCCCGAAAAACTGCTTAAATGTGTGCTTATCGACTCTGACCATATGCTGGCATCAAATTCTGCACAATTTTGATCTTTCCTGAATGAATAGAAGGATGTAATAGGTAGAGGCCGGAGTTGAATCCCTTTGTGTGGAGGTCCTTATTTCCCCTCTTATCTCCCCCCCCCACACACTCAATGGACAGTGGTACCAAAAATTCTGCCATTGGGTCTGACTTGTGATGTTCTTGCAAGGGCAGGGCGCCCTCTATTGGTCAACATGCTACATAGCAGAAATGTAGAACTTGTTTGTGATGGTTTTGTTTTTTGGGGCAATATTTTGGCTCTGGTCAAAAGCTTTGCCTGTATTCTCAATTCTTGTACTCTTGTCATCCATCCCTTGGCCTGTTCTGACCCACGCCCTTTTCTGACAAATCAAACACCATCCCAAAAGAACAGAAACCTTGTCATGCTTTTACAAAATAATTAGCTGTGATAAGCACAAGCCTTGCCAAATTGTGCGAGACTTGCCAAAAGAGACAAGAAATAATTTGCAATACAAGAATCTTCAAATACAAACTCAGGATAGCGGAATGTCCACAGGGCTGGGGTTCCAAAACGTCTTTGCCTTCTGCAAAGTACGTTCCTTTCACAGCTGGCTTTTATCTTCTTGAAGGAGAGGCCATTACCTTGCAGCCTTACTCCCGAGTCACCCGTGCTGCAGCAGCTGCTCTTTGCTGCGAGCAGCCCTGTGTGCACGCGCCCTTGGCACAGGCTCCTCGGGAACCTCCTCATCGCTGCTCCCAGCCCCCACAATCTCTGAAGGCAGCAGTCCACTCCCTAATGGTTCTGGCCCCTCATCTGAGTCCTCGCTCTCCTCGGCCATCCGCACCTGCTGCCAGCTAACCACAACATGGCCTGGTTTTTTTATTTCTCTAGTTCTGGTGTAACAAAAAGGGCCCTGGGAGCAGCCGTTGCATTGCAACTTGCGGCAAGGAAAAATGCAATCTTACTACATGCATGTCTTTCTGGTTTTTTTTTCTGAATGTTCTTTCTACCAATGGGTGATGACGAGGAGGAGGAGGAGGAGGAGGAGGAGGAGGAGGAGGAGGAGGAGGAAGAAAACTAGGCTAAAGGGGTTATGAAGTAACACTCCAAACCCTGACCCAACGGATTGCAATGCAGTTTCAAGTGGCAGCTGGTTCCCTCCAATACTACAGGTGGAACCAGGGATGGGATTGTACCAGTTCGGACCAGTTCTATAGAAGTGGTTGTTACCATTCTGTGCAGTTTGGAGAACCAGCAAAACACGCCACTGGCTGGCCCCGCCCTTCCCTGCTCGCCCCTCCCCTCCCCTCCCTGCCCAGTCACTCCTTATCCAACTTGCCTGCGTTGTGCAAGCAAATGTTATGTGACAGACTCAGGCAGCAGATTGCAGAAAGGTAGATCTGTGAGTGAATCTGTGCTTCCACAAGCAACTCAATCTGATTGACTGCTTTGCCTGATTTTGGCTAAAAGCTGTTCTTTTTTTAAATAAAAAAAATCCAATACTTACATAAATATTTACAATATTTACATACAAGCCACGCCCAATCAGTCACGTGACCACCAAGCCATGCCCAGTCAGCAAGCCACGCCCAGCCTGTCACATGACTGCAAGAAAATCACCAAGCTCAGAGAGCACCAAGGACCCCACAGTCCTCCTCCTCTTCCTCCTCCTTCTCTTCCTCCATTCCACAATCCCCACTCCCTTCTAGTACTGATGATGTTACCTAGCTGGGTTATGAAATGTCTGCAAGAAAATCACCAAGCACAGAGAGCACCAAGGATCCCATAGACATCTTCCTCCTCCTTCCTCCTCCTCCTCCTCCTCCTCCTCCTCCTCTCCACAAACCCCACTCCCTTCTAGCACTGATGATGTTACCTAGTTTGGTAATGAAATTCTGCAAGAAAACAACCAAGCTCAGAAAGCGTCAAGGGCCCCATTGCCGTCGTCGTCCTCCTCCTCCTCTGGAACCCCACTTCCTTCTACTTCAGAGACCACCAAGGACCTCACAGGAAGATCCTGTTTTACACCACCATCCACCTTCGGGTCTCAACTCCCTTCCCGTCTTCTCCTGCCCACCTTCTCCCATCTGCACTGAACCTCTGACTCAGGTGTTCTTCTCCCCAGGTGTTGAAGACGAGGATGAAGACGGGAGAGAGGAGAAGCTGCCCTCTTGCTTCGACTATGTCATGCATTTCCTGACTGTCTTCTGGAAGGTTCTCTTCGCCTGCGTGCCGCCCACCGAGTACTGGAACGGCTGGGCCTGCTTTTGCGTTAGCATCCTGGTCATCGGCATGCTGACCGCTCTGATCGGCGACCTGGCCTCCCACTTCGGCTGCACCGTGGGGCTCAAGGACTCTGTGAATGCGGTCGTCTTTGTGGCCTTGGGCACCTCCATCCCAGGTGTGCTCCCCAACCTGCCCCATTCGCAACAAGGCCCTTAGCCCAGCCAGCCGCTTCCAGGCGGTCCTTGACTTGCAACCGCCACTCCCCAAATGGCTGGCATGTTTCCTGTTCACATTGGGTAGACTGGGCTGAAGCCACACGGGCCCGATCTTTCCTGAGTAGACACTGGGATGGCCCAGGGGTCAGATCTGACCACATCGCAGGCCAGGTCTGGCTCGTGGACCTTGAGTTGGACACCCCTGTTGTCAGGGGTGGGATTCAAAAACTGGTTCACTGCCCAATTGCTGGGTGGGCGTGGGTGTGGTGGGCGTGGCCTACCGGAACTTCCGGGGGGGGGGCATTTTTTGCCTTTCCCAGACTATGGAAGTTTCCCTATGGCCTCCCCTGTTCTCCAGAGGGCCTCCGGAAGCCAGAAACAGGCCTGTTTCCGGAATTCCAGAGCTTTCGATTCGGCCCGTTTTTCACGCTCCCAGAGCCTCCGCGCAGACCCTGCACGTACCTGCATCCAAAACAGTCCGTGTGGAGACTCCGGGGAAGGGAGGGGAGGGGAGGACGGGGCCAGCCAGTCGGCTCAACTATTGGTTCGGTGCAGTGGTGGGATTCAAAAAATTTTTACTACCGGTTCTGTGGGCGTGGCTTGGTGGGCGTGGTGTGGCTTGGTGGGTGTGACTTGGTGGGTGTGGCAGGGGAAGGATACTGCAAAATCCCATTCCCTGCCCACCCCACCAACCTGCTTTCCAGCTCCGTTCTCCTGTGCAGGGCAACCGGAGAAGACCCAGCCGATCAGCTGGGACTCGGGAGGCAGAGAATAGATGGGGGGGGGCAATCAGAGGTGGCATTTGCCGGTTCTCTGAACTACTCAAAATTTCCACTACCGGTTCTCCAGAACTGGTCAGAACCTGCTGAATACCACCTCTGGTTCGGCGAATCAGATGTAAATTTAATGTCCGGTTCGCTCGAACCGGTCCGAACCGGTAGAATCCCACCCTGTGCCTGTTGTACATGCTCAACGCTCTCCTCTTTCCGCAGATACCTTTGCCAGCAAAGTGGCCGCCCTGCAGGACCAGTGCGCGGATGCGTCTATCGGCAACGTGACGGGCAGCAACGCGGTCAACGTCTTCTTGGGCTTGGGGGTGGCCTGGTCCGTGGCGGCCATCTACTGGGCTTTCCAAGGCAAAAACTTCGAGGTGCAGACGGGCACCCTGGCTTTCTCCGTCACCCTCTTCACCATCTTTGCCTTCGTTTGTATCAGCGTCCTCATGTACCGCCGGCGGCCCCACATAGGGGGAGAGCTGGGGGGTCCCCAAACCGCCAAAATCCTGACCACCTGCCTCTTCGTGGGCCTCTGGCTGATCTACATCCTCTTTGCCGGCCTGGAGGCCTACTGCCATATCAAGGGCTTCTGAAGGATGTCCGGCCGTCCCTCCCCCCAGAAGGTGGCGTTGCGGGAGAGTAGGGCTCACTTCGCGGCACCTTCCACAGGCGCGATGTCCTCCTTCTCCACGGTTTCAAGCTTCTTGAGAAGACAAACACCCTCCACCATCTAAGATGGAAGACAGATCTAGACGGGAAGGTGTCCTTCCCTCTCTTCTACCCACCCATCCGTTTTGACTGACTACGTTTTCAGGCATCTTCTGGTGGTTGGACAACTCTTGTCCTCCAACTGGGAGATTTCTTCTCCCTTCTTGCCGGCCTCTAGCAAGGGACCCTGGTCCGTTCCAATGTCGGGGTCTCCCACTCACTGAGACTAGGGGTGCAATCCCAGAGGACTGGAGCAGGCATCTGTGTTAAACCCCCTGCCCCCAATTGCTACATGATCCTTTGGCCCTCCTTAAGAACCTCGTCATGTTGGTTTTTTTTAAAGTGTCTTCCTGTGGCTATATCCTTTTTTTTTTTCCAAGCTGGTACCCTTGGCCTGGGTCCAAAGGAAGATTGCTCTCAATTTTTGGGGCTCATAAAAGTTGGGAGGAAGACAGGTTGAAGAACATCTATGTCCGAAGCAAAACAAGATGTGTTCTGACATCTCTCCCACCGCTGGACATTTTAAAGCACTTTCTTAGGGTCTAAGCTGGAGTGAAATCAGATCAGGAGAAGGTGGACCAGTTGTATCTTTCTCAATTAATAGGAACAACAGAAGGGGGTGTATTTGGCCTCAGTACAGCCCCTTCCCCAGTTCCAGTACTGGGGGCAGGAGAACAGTGTCAGTTGTGCGATCTTGCTGGGTTTGTGGGTCCTGGGAAAGAGTTGGGGTGGACTTCTGTGGAAGCTGTAAGTTTCCAGTTTTCTGTTTTGCTCTATTGAACAAAGGAGTTCAAGTAACCATGTTCTTTCTCAGCCGCTACATTCCTGGGAAGATTGCACACACCCCTTCTTGGTTGATGCACCCCAGTGTAAGACGGGGTGCTTTCTTCCGCCCCTCTATTTATGTCCACCCCCTTGAACACTCCTTCCTTTCTCCCTAGAAGCCAATGACCACAGCTGGATGGCAGGTCTGACCAACGGGAGTGAAGGTGGCAGCTGGGATGCGTGAAACTCAGGTTCTCACACCCTCGTGGCCTGATGCAGGTGGGGGGGGGGGGGGGCTTGTGATCCCATTGTTGTCTGATGCTATCAGTGTAAAGTGGGGTCTAGTAAGGTGTAAGCAGGGGCATCCCTAGCATTAGAAATGCTAGAACCGGATTTGGAATGAAGCGGTATGGATTTTGGCCAAGGGGGACATGAATGCACCTGAAGAATGGAACCAGAATTTCAGGAGTTGCCATCTTCACCTCTCCAGCCTGTGCGGTCCAGTGTTTGTAGATTTCTTTTCCAGGGTCCACATTTGCCTCGGAACAAACGTTGCAACTGGGTGTACATTTTAGGTCAACTTTCCCCTGCACCCTGCAGATTTTTAGAGGTTAGGGCCACCCCGTCGTGCTTGCATGCCAATAGGAGACAGAAGAACGTGGAAGCCAAGCCTTTAGAGCTATTCTGAGGATGGGAGAAGAAGACATTTCGGTCGACTTGAAACCAATAACGGTAGAGCGAGATTGGGCTTGAAGGACTGAGTAGAAGGTATCACACCATCTTCCGTCTTTTCTGGATAGAAGTTAGGTGGGGTGAAAAAACGAAGGTTTGTTCAGGACCATGGACAGCTCTCTTTAGGCACAGCCGGCCAAGCTAGAGCATCTACATCTTCCACAATTCATCCTTGGCTTTGCTTCTCTAGAAGACCTGGTTGAGATCCTTCAGAGGCCCCAATTTTGCATTTGTTGACTTCTGCAGATTAAAGGGAACAAAGGCACATAGGGGAGGGGAGGACAAATCTTCTGAGTCAGAGGTCTATTCCCATCTTCTAGGGGGGATGGCACAAGAGCAGGTTTCTGGCTTCAGCACTTACTTATCTTCAGGGTTTGGTAGGTCAGAGACCAAGAAATTCAAGGCCACGGTTGGTCAACTTCGGCAACTGGAAGTTGTCTGAACTTCAGCTCCCAGAATCCCCCAGCCAGCCCTGCTCTAGGTTATGGGCACAGGTGGGTTTTTCTCTCGTGGAGGAAAAACAAGAAGGAGAATTTTTTCCCCCATTTGTAATAATATTTTTCTAGGGTGATGGAAGCCGTCCTTCTAATGATGAATGCTGAAACAGTTGGAAGGGAGATGGAGGAAGAGGAAGAAGAAGAGGAGGGTGAGGAAGAGGAGGCGGCAGAAGAGGAGGAATATCTAGAACCCTGTTTCTCCACCTCATCAACTTCGAGATATGTGGCCTTCGATTCCCAGAATTCCAAGGGTTGAAGTCCACAAGTTTTGAAGTCACTGAGTTAGAGAAACTTAAGAATTGCATCAAGCAGATTGTCCTGTGGGAGGATAATTAAGTAAGAGCAAGTAAGGAAAGTATCATGGATCTGTGCTGAAGAAATATCTTTCCCTTTTTTACACATGTCATAAGCATTGCATGTGTCAGGATTCCAGTGATTGGCCTAATTAAATCATGAGCCTCGAGCCAAGCTTCAAAAACTTTGAAAAATTTATTAGGAGCGAACATGTCAGCATGATCTGTAATGAAGCTAATTCTGAGACACGTAATTCACTGTCATCCTTGACCCTGGTTTCTCTCCACCCCACTGGGTGAATCATAATTCATATTCTCCAACAAACACGTTCATAGCCAAGAGGCATCAATCACATTCTCCAATTAAGAGATTTGCGGGGCAGAAATTCCGGTCGCTTAGTTACAATCTTTGCAAGATAAGAATGGAATGCACTTTCGGTTCCAAACTGCTGCATTGCTCTTTCAAATTTCTCCTTCCCCCTTTCTGTTCACGGCAACTCTAAAACAAGCATAGAAATGTTTTATGAGTTGACAGCATGCACACATAAATGCATCAGAGCTTGTAACATAATAGCGCAAGGGAGCTTACTCGATTTGGGTGACCAGGGCATCGGATCCTGTGGAACATCCCTGAATCTTTGCCACTGCACAGGCATTCAAGATATAAGCCATAGTTTGTGCGACACCTGCTTTGTTGCCTTCCTGCCAAGCTTGGGAATGACCAGAGAAACAGTCCGTGATGCCCCTTCCAAACAGACCTAAATGGCTGTATCTTTTCCTTCTAGGGAGCCAAGGTTGAACATGAAACAGGGTAGCTGTGCAAACAAAGGATGGTATTCCAACTGGAGCTGGAACAATGATGGAGGGAGTTGAACGAGAGGATAGCAAGACAGCCAGTGGTTAAGGTGCTAGCCAATCACCAGGAGTCTGTGAGTTCTAGTTCCCTCCTTAGGCACAAAAGCTGGCTGGGTAACTTTGAGCCAATCACCAAGAGATTGTGAGTTCTAGTCCTGCCTTAGGCATGAAAGCCAGCTGGGTGATATTGAACCAAACACCAGGAGACGGTGAGTTGTGATCTTGGCTTAGGCACAAAAGCTGGCTGGGTAACTTTGAGCCAATCACCAAGAAATTGTGAGTTCTAGTCATGCCTTAAGGCATGAAAGCTGACTGGGTGACTTTGGGCCAATCACCAGGTGATGGGGAGTTCTAGTCCTGCCTTAGGCATGAAAGCCAGTTGGGTGATATTGAGCCAAACACCAGGAGACGGTGAGTTCTGATCTTGGCTTAGGCACAAAAGCTGGCTGGGTGACTTTGAGCCAATCACCAAGAGATTGTGAGTTCTAGTCTTGCCTTAAGGCACAAGAGCTGAGTGGGTGACTTTGGGCCAATCACGAGGTGATGAGGAGTTCTAGTCTGCCTTAGGCATGTAAGTCACCTGGGTGACTTTAGGCCAATCACCAGGTAACTGTGAATTCTAGACTCACCTTAGCCATGAAAGCCAGCTGGGTGACTTTGGACCAATCCCTTTCTTTCAGCCCCACCCAACTCACAGGGCTGTTGTTATGAGGAAAATAGGAGGAGAAAAGAGTATTATATTAATTCGCTGCCTTGAATTAATTACAAAAGTGGGATGGAAAAAAAACCTAACCAATAAATAAGTATTCCTGAACGAGAAAGGGGAGAATAAAAGCTTGACTGCCTGCAGAGTTAACGTCCCTTTGGGCCGCTTAATTCATCCTCTTTGAAAAATAGCCAAGTGTAGAAACTAGCCTGCTTTCACTCTTCTGTCTCGAATGCTTGCTTGTTGTTTATTTATTTTTTTAAAAAATGGGGGGGGAAAACTAAGAAAAGCCATGGATGCCCCTCTCATCTGCATTTAGACAGGGAGGAGCTGCCCCACTGAATTCCCCAAGAATTCTTGGCAAAATGACCCACGTGCAAAATCCTTCGGCCAGTCATTTGGGTGCGCGTTCATTCACTCTCTTGACCGTAAGCTGGTAGGGCTGATATTGGCTAGTCTCCAACCAACCAGCATTTCTCTCCCCTTTTCAGTTTCCAAGCTCAGGTTGACTTGGCTTCCAAGCACTTTCCCAGCAAGGCCATACAACGTGTATTGTTGGTGTTTAAGAATCTGGTGGGCTTTATTTATTTTTCCCTTCCCAAACCCCACCCAGTTTTCTTCTCGACACAAATGATGGGAATGACGTTCTACAACGGCGAGGAAGCTGAGAGTAGAGGGAAGGTCATAGAAAATGTTAAATAGAAAGGGAGAAATACCATTTGTCTGAAATGGGATGAGGGTTCCTGTCTGAGCAGGGGGGTTGGACTAGAAGACCTTTAAAGGTCCCTCCCAACTCTGTTCTTCCGTTAAAGGGGTGGGAATCCAGGCAGTGTTTTTAATACCAAGTTTTCTTAACACTTCTTCCGTTTTGACACATGATAGAAAAGACCTTATAATGGATGAAACTTTGTAGAGTTTTTGGCTTAAGCATCCCCAAGGGCAAAAAAGAAGAAAGGGAAAAAAAAACCCTTTACAATTGTCTCTTTCTTTTCTAATTTTCTGGCTCTTTCTAACGTTTTTTCATTTTTTTAAAGAAA